TTTTGGGGAAATGTGGGGGGGGGGGGGTTCAGTGAAAAGTTTCTATATCAACTATATATATATTTGTGACTGTCGTTTGTCTGTCTGTCTGTTCGGGGTTGGCGGCTACACTAGGTCTGCCCCGAGTCTGAAATTTGGGGTATAGGGGTAGCTCGGACCGGGGAGTAACATAGGCCAGGTGGCGTTAGTCTACCACTTCCGGTTTCGGAGTTATGACCCCCGAGCGAAGCCGGGTATCCTGCTAGTAGATAATATAAGCTATTATTCACAAATTTAACCGAATTTACGCATTTGGAATTTTTAATTTTCTAATCATACTTGTTTTAAATATGTGTAAAATAGAGGGATATGATCTAAAAAATAAGAGAGAAAATCCTGAAGGGTCCAAGTGCTCGAAGTGCAGACATAATGTAAATATTATTTCATTCGTTTTCAGCCGAGATTACATGCAAATAAAGACTATAACTGAAAACATCAATGGTTAAAGAAACAATATTTAGCTAGAAGTGACAATACCATTAAACAACTGTAAAAATACTCTTATGTTATTTGTCTAATTTGTCATCAGAAAATTCCAGTGGAACATTTGATATAAGAGTTAACAATCATGTAGACTTGAAAATAAACATTAAGTATATATAAATAAATGTAACTAGATAAGTAAATGGTAGTAGATAAGTATTTAATAGGTGATCTGCAGCATTTTATTTGTTTCAAGTTCTTAAAACGTTGCCGAATAATATGTGAACCCTACACTTTATTTATAAGCCAAAACCTGACGTAGCTATAACATCATATAGTATATTATATCAGAAAGATATAGATACATCTCTTGATTATGATGATCGAAAAGTTTCACAGGCCGTGGGGTGGGGAGGTGGTTGATCGATGAAAGTGCAATATTATTTAACTGAAAATTGTCTAAAACCGCTGTAACTTATATTCTTCGAAGAACTCCAAACTATTAATGGGCCGTCATATCAAGAAATTGTAGACTAGTACATCCAAAAGACACCATACTGATTTAAATTAGCAAAGTTGCTGGTATGAACAGCGATTTTAGTAATCATTGTAAAGTTTTAATTAGAAATCGATCAGTGGGCAATATGCAGAGATTAATCAAGAAATCAGTAATTTGTATGAGTACATCCAATTAATGGGCATATATAAGGTAATTATAAATTATATTATTAAAGGCATCATTACAAATGGAAAAGCAAATATAAAAATTACGTCGTACACAATATCAATTAGTTTTATCAACAAGCATATTGGTCCCAAAATGATCAAATTCGGTCAATCGGAAAGTAAGCCATGGCCAAGTTCCTATTATTTAATTCTATTTTTTTTTTCATGACGTCGTCTTTTTTTGTCTCCAAACGTAAAGAATACCTTTTTCTATTTATGAACATCGAATCAGATTTTTTTATCGTCTACTTTACTATCTATTTGAAAATGGCTATTGGCTTTAACAACCAAAGCAGTATGCGCCATATAATATAGCCTAAGTCTGGTAAGAAAGAACAAGCGTTTGGTTAAAAGAATATACTAATATTGTTTCCTCGATCTTCGTGGTGATAAAATGTCATAGCCACCTCAAAAGAATGTACTAGATTTTTTATATGTTTTGACCAAGCACACTGATATCATTATTGTAAATTAAGATATATTGCTAGTATATGTTTTCATTGGTACAGTTTCTGTTTCACAGGACATTATCTTTTTGAACATGCGTGGAATAACACCTGTATTGACTTAAACATTATGAAATCGATTTTTTTATTTATTTGTGAATAATCCAGATAAGGGTCGTTATATTATTCAATATATGGTGTTTTATTATTCAATATTCCAGGACGGGTAAACTGAACAGCAAATAATATTTAGTATCGATCAATTATTGGAATTCGAACACCCGAATAATTACGCATTGGAGCACTGTAACTAACCGGCTATTCAAACAAAACCCTAAGAGAATGAATAGTATAAAATATTACAGCCTAGTCCACTCGACAAAATATCATAATGTCGCATAGGAATGGTGCACAGTTTGGCTGAAATGGCACTCCGTACTAGAGGAACTAAAACCTATACCTTCTTTCTAGATAATCTCGGAATACACTCGTAGTTATAACGTGATTACCAGATAGAAATGAATAGTATCAAAATCACAGTATAGTGCACTCGACAAAATATCATAATGTCGCATAGGAATGGTGCACTTTTTGGCTGAATTGGTACCCCGTACTAGAGGAACTAAAACCTACACATTCTTTCTAGATAATCTCAGAATATGTACGTGTTCATAACGTGCTTACCAGATAAATTTAAAATCAAAATCTGTGTGTGTTTCTGATAGATTAGAAATTTAACACATAGATATATTTGCTGAAATTATAGTGCGCATTCGGAGGTATACGAGCAACACGCGAAACTGGATGCGGGCCTTTAACGATTCTTGGTTGTTTTATACTTCCTGTTATGTTATATGAACACATGGAACTTCTTGTGTTTAACGACGTTTAAATGAATCATAGTGATGTTAATCAGATGCATGACCCTGCACAGAAATTGCGATGACTGGTTACATAGTTTAATTGAATATGTATCTTGTTTATAAATCCAACAATCAAATCGTTTATCAATCTGTTTAAAATTGTGGAATCGGTTCTACCACTTCCATTTGTATAAAAGTCTGTCACATATGACATAAAGAGATAGACAGACAGAGCCAAATAATAGAGACTGTCATCAAAACTGATGAATATTATTGAATATAACCGTTTCATCCTGTCATAATGTCGTAAATTCCAGTAAAATGTCATATGTTGGATTGTATTGTTCTTTTCAACACAATTTATTATTTTCACATATAACAAATACTAAAGAGTGTCAACATGACTAAAGTGTATGATTGATAATATTCTTAGATCACTTGAAACACTATATCTATATAATCCTTTACTTAATCCATAAAATAGAATGCTATTTCCGGTCTACTCTAGATCCTTTATTCAATACCAGCACTCAACTTGAACTTTAACGAAAAAATATTATCTACTTCAGAAGTATAAGATTCAACTTTTTTTTTCTTTCTACATTCTTACACATAATAAAACTATTCATAATATTTTGATTTAGTTTTTTAACCACTGGAATAGTGGATAGATTATTCTTTATTTGAAGACTTTGAGATACAAAAAATCTATTATTAAGCAAGGTTAAAGTATTGAACAGGATTTTAACAGTATGTATGGGGTGGGAGAGGGGTAGTCTAATGTGTGCGCTTTAGAGTCAAGTGTGTGTGTGTGGGGGGGGGGGGTCAATCCGACACTATTACGTGGCATGAGTAGTGTCCTCTGTTTATATAACCCCGTGGCCTTTCTCAGGCCACCGGCTGCACTGGCGAATTATTGAAGAAATGACTTAGTTCGTGTTCAGTAGACTTTAGACCCATCCCCTAATTCACGGTGTGACAATGTACATGTATAACAATCTGACCAAGTACAAACAAATCTGATACAAAATTGTAGGTGTATTCAAACTAAGTTTGTAATTTATATTTTTAATCTTTGAGATGATAAATTTACAATTATACTGTTCACATTAATTAACGTTACCATAATAACATGGACAACATTAACGCATTAAAACACATTTCTTCTAAACCCATCAACTGTTTCCAATTAATCTTAACAAGATGATTAAGAAGCAGTCAGATCATTAAGTTAATTATTGTGTTAACCGATCCCCTGCCTAAAGATTTATCTTGCCATACTACAGTTCTAAAAACAAATACAAGTGTTTAACAGATAGCTTCAAAATGCATTACACCAGTATATTGATGTAATGCTATTTTAACTAACACGCACACAAACAAACTTTTGTGCCTTTTCCACCAAATTATTTTTGCTTAATTTTATGGGAGGAAATGCGATATTTATTTATTTACTTATATCACTAAATTAAACATAATAGACATTGGGAAAGAAGTTATTTTACAACAAATAACGTCATTGTCTGGGTAATATATTGACCACCTTAAAGATATATCTTAAATGAGGAAAGTTATACTGTTTCTGGTGCATACCAATAACAGTGGCCGTGAACCAGCAACCCGGATCTGTGAGTATAAAATAATATACACTGTCGGGATTAACCCACTGAATTATGATCATCAACAGTTAAGGCAAATGTTTCAAAAACGTACCCATAGTTCATAGATTTTATCACGCGAATTCAAGTAAAGAAGACCGACAAAAAAAAAGACACCAAAAGATTATGATGAGCAATGGTACACAACAATCATTTAGTAATGTGCTGATGTTCCATTCACTAACAAATAGATCAACATTTTGTAAAAAAAAAAAAAAAAAAAAATGAGAATGTAATATCGAATAAAATGCTTGAAGATCGTCATAATATAGTTGGTACATGTTTGCGAGCTGTTGCAAAAACATTTCCGGTCATAAGTCAGCAATACTTAATCTGAACGTAGATCATGTACATATATATAAACATATTTGGGATAACTAGATATGTATGATCAAGAATACCCATAGATGAGCAACATTTCTGCAGGTGCATGTTACTGTTAGATGATGTCAAACCAAAAACTAAGCTCGCTCACAGAACGTGTCTCTTATCTGTTTTGTTATGAAAATTTAATTCACAATAGCGTTTCGCTACAGTCAATCTATATTAAAATGCATTATAAAATTTGTATAACACTGCATGACATATCGTGAATAGAAATGCATGAATTTATGTGCAGTTTTTCATCTGTTAAGTGGAGATATTATATAAAACCTTAGACCAGATTGTTCGTTAAAATACATAGTATATACAGTGAAAAATGTTATCCTTGAAGAAGACCACCATAGTCAGTTTGGAAGCAACTATATGCGATACGACAGCGGATTAGTGTGCAGAGAAATTGTTACATTTGTTTTTGATTTTCTTGTTCGGCATGATGGTTACGTATAATAAATGTGGCTTACCTGGATTGATAGCTATACACATATCCTTCTGTCTCCTCACAATACAAACATATATAATCTCCAATACATAAGTATTCCCCCATCCCCGAACCGCGGTTGTAGCCATTCAACTGAAAAAAATAATTAGATATTTAAATTATTCTTTGAATTTTCTGTTTCAGATTTTCAGACACTGAGAAAAACGGAAACAGCACCATAAATAATGCATATTTAGACACACATTTCTCGTAACATCATATACTACAGATATTATCCAATGCTAATTCATTGACTACAAACGATTCGGTAAACCGGTCATATTGGCATCCATAAAGTTCATAGACACCTGAAAATATAATCCATGGAAAAACAATCACTGATTATTTCTTTCACTTATGGTTGTACCACAATTTAGAACATTACACACATTAGATGATGTTTTGAAACTAACCATTAAATAACGAAATATTTACGAGTGATTCATTATATCACATTTTTTCCTGTACAATGTTATCCAGTGTTTTGTCACTTCGAGCAGAACAGTATCGTGTTGTCTAATTTAATTCGTAGGAAATTGTCAAAAATAACAATTACGTATGCTTCACTCTATTTAATAACAATATCCATATTCCTTCGCCGGTATCCTCTTTGATCATCATCAGTTATATAGCCGAGAAAGATTTACAATGGGATGTTAATAGGTTTTCCTATGTAACGGCCACAAAACAGTTTACGCTCCAATAAGCACAAAGAATATACTTCTATATATCTCCCGCCAAATTCAAGTCAACATACATATATATCTAAATGTACAAATAAAAGCAAAACATTGGTAACTCAATTTTACCTTTAATTCATTTGAAAAGCATGATGATAGTTACAAATAAAAACACAATAATATATCCTTAATCACAGCGATTAGTTTAACATTCATTAACGTCAACAGAATCTCTGAACGAAGCGTGTTCAAGAGTTTCTCCTTGTCGAACACCGCGATTGACACTGTATACTGTACTGATGCGGAGACACACCTTTAAAAGCTAGTAGGCTACATGTAGTTGGTTGAATATATATGTTTGACCTGAGGTATAACCCAGGCTGTCGAGACAGTGAACAATTCACTGGGTTAAACTTGAACTTAAAGGGGCTTATAATTACATGAAGACAGATTTTAATAGGATATCCATTGACTATGTGTCGCTTCAGGTCAATAAAATTTGGATATCATTTTTACAATGCTTTCCCGATATTAACAAAAGCGAGAGGACGGCGATATCTGCTAAATATGTTTGATTAATAAATAGGTGGAGATTTAAATTGTTATTTGTCAACTGTCAAACTTACATTTACTTATATTCAGATTATCATTCTTATCTTTAATTTATAAAAACCAAAGTCATTGTTCGTGTTTTAAGTTAATATACAAAGCCGTTTACTTGAGTGGAATGTCGTCCGTGAGTGGACGGTTTAGGGTATATCGGTTTACCATGCAACGATTCTACACCACTGGATGTTCCCAAATTGGAGTGCGAGATTAAACAAGCAAGGGTGTATTTCACTGGACGAGAATGTATGTTAGTGAGGTTTACCCACAGTTAAATTAGACGTTAATTCAAAGCCGAGACAAGAAATGTCAGGTATCCAGTCCTGTTTACTAACACCAGATTTTATCGAACGTCTGATATTCTAGCCTGTCTATTATACACCCCTGTATCGACACTGAATCAACCCATACCTACAACCATTATTTCAGCTGTATGGAATCATAGAGAACTCAATTTTGACCTTATTCTTTAGCACCAGAAATAAATGAGATATCTTTACGTCCACGTTTCTATAAAACGGTCATTTATATAAATTGACACTAAATAAAAATCTAATACATTTTGTATTGCTGAGAACCTTTTGGGTATTAAAAGAACCGGAGAGTTATATTTATGTCGCCTTGATTATCACAAACAAAATATCCCGTATGGCCATTTCGTGTGTTTTTCTTCCTCTTCACGAAACAAGGTAGAAATTAGCATTGAGGATTCATAATTAGGGTTCGGATGCTTCAGTCTATGACTAAATGACAGAATCAGGAATGATATGTAGCAAAATGTGATTGATATCTCATAGTGCATATGAACACAATAATATATTTTACTTGAAATAGACATCACAGACAAAGACTATTTTACACCTCTAATGGAAAATGTATAAAACGAAAAGTATTTCCTTAATATCTATAACAAATAATAGCCATGTTGGAGATCGGGAAAATATTCAAATTTCTAAAATGTCTGTGAACAATTTTGATTTAAAGTTTTGGCGGGGGCGTGGAAATATGATGATGGCAATTTAATATACATCAGCCCCACCCATATTCTTTCAAATTAAATTAAAAACAAACTTAATGGTAGTTTTAATTTGAGTTATCAATAAGATCAAATGTCAAAGCCATAATATTATTTTACATGACAATTTACATCTCCAGCTAGTGGTTGATCATTTCCTTAACCACAACATGAATTCACAGTTTATTTTGATATGTTATACACTGGGTGTGTCATATGAGCCAGAAGCCTTAAACTAAATCAAATATATCGCTAGTAATTAAATTATCTTTGACAATTGGATGCAAACTGATAATATAATTGTGTAGTTACCTAATAACAATCAAGACAAAACGTGGCTTTATAAACTGACCTATCCGCAACTGACATGGCCACTGGTAGTCATACAGCGAACAAAGGTTGCGTTTAGCTATATCCGTTCAAAATATGGTGGATAGATTGTAAAATCGTTCTTTAAACATATCTACATTCATATTTTCATTTTTAAATAATTGGATGGAATGGAATGAAATTGTTTTGTTTTTTTTATGTCGTAAAAATATAATAATTATGGTTAATTTTAAATGCGAGAATTTTGCCGGACAGTTTCCGCCTCATCTTCTTCGATTTTCCATTGTCTGGACTTCCTTTACATGTACATCAATGCGAAAATGGATTGGCCTCTGTTTTTCATGTCATCTACTCACAATCGCCACCTCTAACTAGTGAAGACTGAGCTTGTAAAAATATCGAAGGCTCTTTCCAACGCTGGAATTCCAACCCGGGATAGTTGAGCCGCTAGTCCAGTGTCCTGACCACCATTTGACTACCACACATGCACCCACCCCCAAACCCCTTTTAAATCAGATACTGGCATATTTACATAAATATTATAATAAAACAATGACCAATAACATAATGATCCACGCCCATAGCACATCGAAGAATTTATATTAATGGTAAATCAATGACGGCTGTTTAATCATTGCCTAAGATATTTGAGTTTATTTTAACACCAACAGCCACTTCCTTTCTTATCACCGTTTACTCTTAATTAACAGGTAGTGGAATTTCTGGCATGATTTGTTACAGCTTTTTTGCAGTGTTTAACTACTGTAGCCTGGCTGTTGGAAGCATTATTCTTCAAAACAGATGTATTTATTTACCTACAAAATGAACTCGTGATTTTTCAGGGATCGGTGGCAATGTCGAGCGCCAAAGAAGAAACAGTAGTAGGTAAAATACCGCCCACACTCCCCGCTGTCCTTCATGGAGTGTAACAAGATCTAAAGTTGGCATATTTTTTCTATTTCTTTGACGTTAGGTCAAAAGGGTTATATCATTATTAGAGAAGGATGAACTGGATCTTGTAAATTTTATCAATGGGTATGAAAAAGTATTGACTGTTCTAAATCCTGAATTAAATGGGTATCATATACCGCCCGCGTCGGGTCCTTCATTGAACCCAATGACTTTGATCTAGGGTAAACAAAAAATCTATAAGTTTAATATTAAAGAGCACATCTATTCCTAGCTAAGAAGGTGGTCAATGTACATAGTCGCGACTGATGAATTGGCTGAAGTTCCTACCAGTTGCAAAGAAAACTTTTAGAAAACATACTTAAAGATAGTGGAAAACTTCTGTGGGTTGTACCAGTTCTACATACAACACAGTACAATACAACTTACCATAAACATACTGGTCCAAAAGGCTTTATCCTCATCTCTTTAAGACTAAATCCAGACGGTGTGAACGACACGAAGTGGTCGAGGATTTTAACATGGACTTAATTGCTCATGCATTTGAAGAATGGGTCACATGAATCATTAATGGTGCAGAGTGGGGAACCAAGAAACTAGAGGAAGTACACATGTTTGCAAAATGCCAAAGAACTTTAGGGCAAAATATCAAAGCCAATGGCATTCTCATGCCTTCAATCAAGTGTCATGAAAAAAAGTAGGTTATAGCAAGAAGCAACGGTCAACTTGACAATTACCGTTACAAAAACTTCACCATTATGCCAAACAATAAAATATGGGAAGATTGGCGTCTCATATAGTAATAAAAAATGTCCAAAAATACTTAATAGCCCATTATTAAGATATAATACTTACAATACTGTGTAGATTTGTTCTACAAGTGCTCCTGAACTTGAACTAAATTCTGGTCTAGAAGCTTCTAGATCAACTAATCAACTTTAGAAACTTACTAAGAGACAACACATACCATTTTAATCCTGAACTAAAACTCATACCACCACAAAACACAACTTGTTCTTGAGATCGACATAAACTGTTCAAACTGACTTTCGAGTTTTTCGTAATCATACTGTATGGCTTTATAAACACATGAAGGTCTCCTTTCTAATAAATTCCATTTCATGTCATGGTATTCGCAGCCCGACTAACATCGAGTCCATATGTTTGACACACATTTCCCTCAGTTTCAGAGACATGCTGCGGGCCGTTGTGTGTCGCAACCTGTTGTTTTAGTCATCAAAGACGAAATTTAGGGGCATATGGTGTCAATCCATTAGGAAAACTGGGAAATCGCAGAAAAAATTCTTCCTTTTTGACTCAACAATTTGCAATGCCATTGTAATTCAGTATTTAATGATTTAAAAGTTTTAAAGTTAAAATTAATAAAATCAAAATTCATACTGAACTGGAGGAACAATTGAATATTACTAACAAGACTTTAAGCACATAAGAAAAGTGGGTGGATGGCATATTTGGTTACGACAGCATTCTCTTTCTTTATGAATTCTTTGCAAGTTATAAAACATAAAAGATCCTGTTTATTAAAGTCCATT